ATTTTCCATCCGTAAACACAACATTTCACGCTGATTCGAACAGTGGTATTTTTGTCCTTGTTTGACGCATAAAACCAGAGATAAAGCTGAGCAAACAGTCGATCATCATGAGCGTACACGATTAATAATAATTAATAAATTCCGAGCACGTGTAAGGAATTTTTGGTAGGTGATTAAGGAAACGTATTGATGCGAACAAACTAACAAACTAACAAACTAACAAACAAACGGACAAACTCACAGGCAGAATATAATGCGGTGCCAAAAATGGCACGGGCACCGCAATTATAGCCGGCCCACTAAACGGCTGAAGTTAAATTAAAACTGCAGGAAAATTAGAAAATAATCGCAAATTAGCGAAATATATTGCAAATGTAGCTTATATTAAATCGCCATCAGATTGCACTATCGACTAACTGACGTATAGATATAAAGTATACTTAATATATATATACATATATACTTAATAATTGTATATGTCAGTTTGTTGATAAATACGGTAAGCGCCATGTAAAGCTCATTGTAGTCACTGAAACCTCTGCGGAGGAGAGAGCAATCGGGTGGCGATTTAATATAAGCTACATTTGCAATATATTTCGCTAATTTGTGATTATATTTGTTAATTTTATAAGTTCATTGTAGTTTTAATTTAAATTCAGCCGTTTAGTGGGCTGCCTATGCTATAATTAGATTGTTGTTGTCGTTGTGTGAAATTTAAATTTCTCCTGCGACATTTTGATTGGATAATAAATATAAACTTTGCTGTGGGTGGAAAGCGACAGGTTAAGTTTTGTGTCAGGCTCTATTTGTAAAAGAGAGCCTGATAGTCAGGTTAGCGAATTGCTAGCGAAAGTAAGCAGACCGTACGTGGCGGGCCCAAACCCGCTAAAGTAGGTCTGCATAGGAGACTACTCTAGAACGCGTTTTAATTATTCCTTGGATATTTGGGACTTTTTTCGGCATAAAGGCATTACTGCCCCCCTGGTGGAAAAAGTCCTGCATACGGCCCTGAGCCATTCCTATAGGAGTGACTTCACTTGACCATTTTCGCACTGAACGGATTTCATGGTTATTTTGACATCGATCTTCTTTGGATATCAGGTTTAATTCCCTTTGTTTTCGTTTCATATTTTTGGGAAGTAACAGCAGATTTACCATTGAAATACGGATTAAATTTTGTTCACGACCATGAAACGTTCTCAAATAATATTTTATCGATTTTTTTGTTCTTTGGGCAAAGAATTTTCGACAAAATTCCCTCAAAATCTTTGCAAAACAAACGTTTTCCTCCATCTTTTTTCTCAACCATGGATCGTTACGTAATGGTCCATGGTCGAGTAGCCAATCAGAATTGTAATGGTACTTGATTGAGTGTATACTAATGTCGATTAATTCACCGCTTAATTAGTCTTACAACAATTTTGTTTCTAAACTTTTTAAGCATGCAAAATCTAATTGAAATATTTAATTTCACCACAGACCCAAAGAAATCTGATATTCAAATCCTGATTCAGCAAAATTATTTCTATCCGAATGAAGGAAAGAATTTTTCACTACCGTACAACGTATTATCTTACCCAGCCTCTGATATTACATGGTGGAAATCTAAAGACGGAAAAGAATATGAGTTGATAACTAAGTGTTTGGTGTCAAAAAAGTGCGAAATTCACGGAGGAAAGGAACATATTACGAAAACAAGTTTCGAAATAAAGGATCTCAAATTTCCCCAAGATAATTTCTTCTACAAATGTGATGCAAGTAATGACTATGGAAATAGCTCGGAAACTTTTCAATTAGACGTTTACGGTAATGTACATATGTTATACTGAAACCACTTCCCTTTCCATACTATATATATATATATATATAGGTTATATATACTCCTCAATTTCGCACATAATAAGTCATTTTTGTATCTGCATGAAGAGCTAGATACTATACTATCGAATTGTACGTACGCGCGTTAAACACTCAGTTCAAATTATTAGGGCTGTACGCCTGTGAAGTGGCCGTAAAACAAAGATGGCGATGATGAGGTATTTATTTTGTTCTGGCTATGTATATAAGTCAAAATTCTAGTATAAAAATTTTTTTTGCATGGTTATATCCTAGAAGATTGTCCAAAATAACATCGTAAAGCTTTTTCATGAGTAACCGTGCGTGCTATATACAGTACATAGTGTGTCCCAAAAAAAGTACCCTCTATAGAAATTGTCCTATTGTTATAATTTGAATGCCTGAGCACTATGCTGAACACAAGAGTGCGTAAACACATAAACACAATTGAATTGAATTTTTAATTACCAGGCGCATAAAATCCTGTGCTTAACAACAATACGATAAATTTCTATAGAGGGTACTTTTTTTGGAACACACTGTATATATATATATATATATGTTTCATCAGTAAAGAATCATCAGGCGGTACCGGGGTACATTTGCTCTATCTTTATGATATTGAACACTCTTTGCTTGTCGTGTACACAAACCTTCTCGTATATATATATATATATATATATATATATATATATATATATATATATATATATATATATATATATATATATATATATATATATATATATATATATATGTATATATATAACAATCCATCAGCCGAAATCCGTGATCAACCAATCAGACGTTCCCAAAGGCTTCAAGAACGAGAACAGCGCGAAAATTCAAACATTCCAACTTTCTGATGACGGCTCGAAGTACCGAATCGAAAGCGCAAAACATTTAAATTAGAATCCAGAGAACAAAATAATTTGTAGAATTATATTAATATATATATATATATATATATATATATATATATATATATATATATATATATATATATATATATATATATATATATATATATATATATATTATTAAATACCTTTACCCAATTGCACTCCGAACACCTCAATGGAAAGATGGTGGATCATGCGTCCATGACGTATATCGCGAATTTGTCTTCCCCTAACGTTTATAGCTTAAGAGACCACTTGTTGAGATTTATTCTGTACGTTGTCGACTTGATATTGATTCTACCAAATCATTAAGCACATCCGGTTTAACAGGAGATGCGTACGCACTGTCGTGGGTAAGTACCTTTGTTATTGTCGTTGTGTTAGGACGTGCTTTTTCCCGATCGCTCGTTGTCTGCTTCATTTGATTTTATTGTCAATTCACGCGTTTACGGTAAGTATTGAATGATATTTAGTGTAGTTTAGTTTAATGAATTTGTCACATTTACATAGAAAAATGTTTACAATTACAACTTAGACTAGAACAATAAATAAAAACTAACAAAATAATTAGTACTTGTGACAGGAGTCTGAAACAGAACTTGCGTCCCAATTGATATCAAACCCCTTAATGATTAGTGTCTTCAAGTAAAAGCACACACACACACACACACTTAACCGGAAACTGTTCCGGCGGGCAATAAGTTGGTAATATTGTCTTCAATAAAGTAAACAGTTCCGATAATGTTCCACACGACTTTATCTTGGGAGAGAGATTGTTCCATAATCTGCAGGATCTTGGGAAATAGGAATTATGAAAATAGTCCTGCTTATACTTGTCTATTGGGAATAAATTGTTTGTAACGGAATTTCGAGTATTGTAACGAGGAATACGAGTTTGTAATACTGGGAAGCATCTATATGAACAAGACCATTTATACATTTGAATAACAATGTTAGACCACTTATTTCGCGCCGAAATTCGAGCGGGAGAATGTCTAATTGGCATAGCCGATCTGTGTAGTACATGTGATTAGGATAATTTTAAATGAACTTAGTGGTTCGGTGTTGCACGTTCTCAATCAATTTTCGATGTTTCTTCGTGTAAGGAGCCCACAAATTTGAACCATACTCCAGCTTGGATCTAACAAGCGAACAATAAAGAACTTTTCTAGTGGAAGGATCAGTAAGGTCTTTACAAATCCGTTTAATTAAGCCTAGGGTTTAGGCTTAATTAAACGGATTATTAATTAAACGGTATCCTGAGCTTATTTGCTCTGGATACCATTTCTTCAATGTGGTTCCACCACGTAAGTGTGTTAGAAACCAAGATTCCCAGATCCGAGTATGACGATACATTTACTGTACCAGCGGCTGGTCGTCTAGATTATATTGTCTATCAATGATAGTACCAGGCTTTTTCCTTGAAATGTGCAATGCTTTGCATTCGGACATGTTGAAAGGAATACCCCAATCAACAGTCCAATGATGTAATTGCCCAAGTTCTTCTTGAAGAAGCCTACTAGAATCCGTGAAATCAATGGTTTTATATTGTTTTGAGTCATCTGCATATAAGGCAATTTTAGAGCTGTTTTGAGTGCAGTACGGCAGGTCATCGATGTATATAAGGAACATGATAGGCCCAAGGATGGATCCCTGAGGAACACCGGTTTGGGATACCATCAGGGCCGCTAGCCTTGTTTGGATCTAGTCCTTTGAGAACACTAGCTACTTCACATGTTGATAGTTGAATATTATTTAAATAGTTTGGAGGTATGCATGATCTGGAAACGTGGAGAGGATTTAATTCGTTTTCAGCTGCAAAGACAGAATGGAAATACTTGTTCAATAAGTTAGCTTCGGTGTAGCTATTTGTAATGAAAGAATGACCGTTTCGTAAAAATTTAATGGCACTTTTCTGATTGGTAATTGATTTTAGGTATGAACAAAATCGCTTAGGATTTTCACCAAGTGCTACTTTCATTTTGTATGAATGATCTTTCCTTTTCTGTGCTATCATGCGTTTTGTATCACGACGCAGATCTTTAGACGACGCAGATGTAAAGATAACTTACCTATTTTTATATCTGAGTTTCCACTAAAGTTTGTTGAGATAGTGTCTTGGCGACGTATCACGGCACTTGTACAAGTCTGACAAATTTATATCTGCATGGTGTAACAGTTATAAGTTTAAATAAAATGGTGCAATATATATAATCGTGTAGTAATTTGTGCATAATCAGAATTCTGTATTCTTGTTTGCAGCATTCAATTAAACATGTGCGACAAATATTGCGAAATAACCGGGAATAAATCTGCTTTAAAACAAGCTGGTGGTAGTGACGAGATCAATTCACCTACGATTAAGAATAATTTAGCTGACATTAAAGAGGCTATGACTGAGATGATGTCCAGTTTTAAGACTGAACTTTTAAGTCAGTATCCCAGGTCAATCAAGATTTTCAGCAAGTAGCAGAGCAAGAAGTTCAGGACGAAAGTGTTAATGTCCCTGAAGCTGATCCATTGCCAAGATAACAGCGCCGATACTTTCGCTGATAAAATCTCAAACTTTGGCAGAGAAAAGGGGTCACAATTGCAAACAGATTTGAGCGAGAACGAGGTTTTTAAATTCTTTGTAGAACAATTCGCCCCAGGTGAGCAAACTAGACCGGCAATTGACCATGACCTTGCCACATGCAATAGTCAGTGAATTGTTGACTGAGAAGTTAACAAAAGAGATGCTTGAATTAATACAAGAAAAGTATTTGAAGCCAGAAAATTGCGGCAATTTTGTCGCACTAAAAATTAATAAACCAAATGAATATGGCAACAGCTTAAACAGGAGATTCTGCATTTCAAAAAAACTAAAAATTGTCATTGTCTTCGTTGTGCAGTATGCTGTTTTGCATGTTTGTAATAACCTTTCGAGCAAAGAGAATATTGAGGATGGTTTAATGTGCTTACACATTCAATAGTGATTATTTCACTAGCAGCAAATAGACAATTAAACTTAAAACGGCGGAGTTAACTACGCTCGGATTTCAATAACTAACATGTAATCCATCCACTCCAGTATCAAAATATCTCTTTGGGGATTACCTAATATGGAGATGGAAGATATTTCAAGAGCTAGCAAGCTCACACAGAAGGTTACGCCTATTCAAAGTATGGAACCATATCGCCGATCAGTTGGGCGGTCCTCAAACTATGTACGTTAGAATAAATACAGGGGTCGTGGATCAACTGAGACTTGGTTCAGGTTCAAAATTCGATTTTTACCTTGATTCAAAATCAAGCCACATTTAAAGATTGCAGGTTGAACAATTTCACGAGGTGTGCAGTGGAAAAGACTAACCTCTGATCAATTTATCTTGGATTTTGTCATTGTCACTATTGATTTTGAGACTGAAGGCCTTTAACTAATACATGTATTGCATGGCTTTCTTGTAGTTGGCTGGAGATGAAAACAAGTTGATGTTTGATTTCCATACAAACATGTGTGAGGATTTTTCATTAGTGCACATGTCATATTCATTTTGCCTACACTGCTATGGACAATCTTTAAGTTGTTTCTGAAGTCAACTAATTTAAAATAATTGATGATATCTCCCAACAGCCACTCAACTACTGAGACTTTTGTGGGACTCATCAATATTGTAAATTCTGCTCCAGTTAATCAATATTCGTCTTTAATATTTGTTCCTCGATATATTCATAAACCCGACAAGTTCACATCAGATAAATTCATATTCGTTCGATTGTAACTGAATACAATAATTAAACGTTATAATACAACTAATGAGTAATGTTAAAATAATGGAAAATTACTAGCTATAAATGAATACTTCCTTTACCTTGTCGTTGGGACATTCTAAATTATTTAAATATCTAAAAGTTCTATTTTTTCCCCTTTTTACTCTGTAATGTCAAATAAACAATGTTAGAAAACATGGCGACCGGCCGCGTTTTATATTCGCCATGAAAAAGCATGGGCACTAGTTCCGACCGCGGCCGACTGTTCACGAATGTTCGCGTTTATAAATAATTAATTATGCATTATTTACACTCTCCCCCCAAAATATATTCTAAGATTTTTGTTCAATTTCTCGTATCAAATCCTCTTCTGACAGGCTTAACTTTCTTATGTCCCTTCGATAATTTCCTGTCGCAGTACGCACAGACACTTTACGTACAACTCCAAAGCTATCTGGAAAGACATGTTCAACAATTCCCTTTCACCATTTTCCTCTTGGAAGGTTGTTGTCCACAAGAGTGGGTAGTAGCGAAGTAGTTGTAGTTCGCTACTGTAGCGAACTACAATTTTCAAGTAGCCAGTAGTTTTTGACTACATTTTTAAAACAGTAGCTGTAGTTATAGCGAACTACATTTTGCCTAAAAGTAGCCAAGTAGTTGACTACTTTTCAAACAGCAAATCGCTATTCGCTACTTTTAAAAATTGTTAACAACTTGATAGAATAGCATGATATTGAGATACGGTTTGCTTAAAATCGATACTCAACAGTCAATTTGCACTCCTGAGCACTGTAGTGATTACAAAAATGTTGCTTTGTGTTTACTGTTGCTACTCGTAAGTCTATTTGTTATAGGTTACATTACAGTCTGAGTTAGTATAGATGCTCCAAATACAGTAAAACTAAAAAATATAGCGTAGGCGTAGCGAAATAGTTCGCTACATTTTTTAAGCAGTAGCTATAGTCAGTAGCGAACTACCTTTGTTCAAAAGTAGCAGTATAGTTGTAGCTGACTACATATTTTTGAAGTAGCTGTAGTTATAGCGAACTACAAAAATTTTGTAGTCAACCCACCCTTGGTTGTCCACCACTAGTGCAAGTTGACCTTCTTTGAAATTTGGACGTCGTTCAAACCACCTTTGACTCTCTTGAAGGGTTGGCACATATTCCTTCATCTATCTCGACCCAAACTCATTTGCAAGAGCGTTAACGTGTTTCCATTTTGCAGCATACTGATCGATTTTCTTGAACTCCCCCGGTGCGACGCTAGAGTTGTCCTGTAATAACAACATATGATTCGGTGTTAAAGCTTCGAGATCATTTATATCATCTGAAACTCGTGTGATCGGGCGGTTATTCATAATATTCTCTACCTCTGTTAGGAATGTGACCAATGTCTCGTCGTCAAGCAAGCGTTAGCCAATCATTGACCTCAGGATTCTTCTAAGGGAACGAATTAAACGCCCCCCCACACCACCTTGATGGCTTACCGCTGTTGGTTTGAAATGTCAGTGTATTTTACTTCGGAGAAAATGACCTTGGATCTTTTCTTTGATCCATGCTTTCAAGGCCTTCAGAACATCTTGCTCGGCTCCACGAAAACTTGTGCCGTTGTCGCTATAAATTATTCTTGGAGGCCCTCGTCTAGCAATGAACGTTGTTACAGCATTTATGAAGCTGTCTGTAGATAAATATTTTGCAACTTCGACATGGACTGCACTATACCTCAAACAGGTGAATATGCAACCGTAACACTTCGCCAATTTTGGATTCTTCCTCGTTGCTCTTGTATTCGATCCTGCATGAACATTTAAAGGTCCAAAGTAGTCTATTCCAACGGCGGCAAACGGGAACACGAGTCTGTGCTTTTTTATTATTATTATTATTGTAAATTTCCAAACTAGCAGTAACAACTACAAGGTATAAGAACAACTACAAGGTATAAGAACATAGGTATTCAATCTATTCTATATTTACAGGTAAAAATAGGTAAGTTAGATAAAAATTACGATAATAAACTAAAGTTTACCTATTATTATAAGCACGAGATTAAGAAGGCGCAGACCATACAAACGCTTCGCGGCTTTCTTGCAAATGTAGTCAACATGGAGGTTCCATTTAAGATCGTCTGAAAGAACAACGCCCAATAATTTGGCCTCGGAAACGACGTCGACCTTTTGACCACGAATGGAAATAGGAGCAAACGATGGAATAAGCATAGAAAAGCAGACACGCAATTCTCTGGTCTTTGATACATTTAACTTCATATTATTGCCGATGACCATTCAGAACAGCTGATGATGTTAGCGGGTAACTGCGACGGGGAATTGTTTGATATTATTTCTCCAAGGCTAGTATCATCAACAAATTTAACAGTTTCATCCGCCACAGCCAAGTCATTGATCATAATCAAAAACAATAGCGGGCCAAGCTTTGTTCCTTGTGGAAAGCTGGCGTTTAAAAACTTCCACTCAGAAAAGAACTGAAGAAAACCGGTTCCTTGTTGTCTGTCTGTCTGTCTGTCTGTCTGTCTGTCTGTCTGTCTGTCTGTCTGTCTGTTTGTCTGTCTGTCTGTCTGTCTGTCTGTCTGTCTGTCTGTCTGTCTGTCTGTCTGTCTGTCTGTCTGTCTGTCTGTCTGTCTGTCTGTCTGTCTGTCTGTCTGTCTGTCTGTCTGTCTGTCTGTCTGTTTGTCTGTCTGTCTGTCTGTCTGTTAGAAAGTTTGCGATCCAGTTGAGTAACACGGGATGAATTTCCAATGTCTTTCAATTTTTTCAAAAGAGTGTTATGATCTAATCTATCAAACGCCTTGGAAAAATCAAGTAAACAAATCCGTATAGTGTTACCTTGTTTGTTTACCATTTATGTAGCATGTAGATTAATGCCATACTAGTGCTTAAACCCTTCAGCGAACCAAATTGCAAGGGATTAATTTTTTTTGAGACGGAGTTAAGAAGCCACTTGTAGGGAGAGGATTCAAGAATCTTGCTGATAATTGGTGTGAGGGAGATTGGTCTGAAGTCAGAATCAACATCTTTAGGGGGCGAAGATTTTTGAATTGGTGTAATATTTGCTGCCTTCAATATTGAGAGAACAAGTCCTTCACGAACTGATAAATTAAAAATGGAACACAAAGGTCGACACAACACTGAAGCGTTTTCCTGGAGAAGCCAAGAAAGAATTTGATCGGGACCAGCAGATGAATGAAGTTTAGATGATAATAGAGGCTTTTCAGTCTCCTCGACAGAGATGCAGAAATCATCTGGAATGTCATTTGTGGGAAGGGGGAGTCAGTTCAGACTGGGAAAGGAGTACCCTACTGCAGCGAACTTGTCATTGAGCAAATTTGCTAGATCCGCATCAGATAAGATTTACCTTCGAACATTATTGTAGATAAATTCTTAGAAGACTGAAGACAGATAATATTCTTCACCGTTGACCACCATTTACGAGAATCGGACTGTTGGACGCCCGCGAAACTTTTATTGTAGTAATTTAGTCGTGCCTTCTCGCAAAGTGTATTGACTTTGTTTCGATAGAATCTGAACATCAGGTTGTCGCCAGCCGCCCATGCTGTCTGCCGCTTGGAAACAAGAGATTTTATTTCGGAAGTAATCCAAGGCTTGTCACTAGAATCGATTTTGATTTGTTTCCAAGGCAAATGTTCGTTTATGATATTATCTGCGATGGTGGAAAATAGGAACTGCTCGTCACAATATTCCATATAGTGCAAAGGTAACCAATTAAATTTCGACAGATGATCGCTAACAACTCGACGATTGATTGGGCGAGAGTCTCATACTAAACGTGTAGACCTTGTGCCACCATAAGAGTTAGCTGGGAGAGGTTGAAGAACGATGGAATTATGATCGGAATGTCCAATTGGAGAAATCACCACGGCAGGATTATAAAATATAGAAATGTTAGTAAATATTTTATCTAAAGTATTCTTTCCTCTAGTGGCGTCTTTGACTAACTGCTTGAGGTTAAAGGGACTGCATAACTGGCGATGTTCAAATTGGTTATAATCTCTAGCTAAAATAATTCCTGCACCACGATTAGTGGAAAGGACAAAATCAATTGATTCGGCAAGGTGTGCAAGAAGGGCTTTATCGTCACTTCCAGGTGGATGGTACACGATTCCCAATACAACTGAATTCAGACCACGAGGCAAGCGGTGAGGTTTTAAGAGGTTTTATTAGGTAGTTGTGCTGCCAACTACTCCCCTACTTTCTCAGTAAGGCGTCGACAGACATCACACATTCGTAATACTCTTCTCACTTTCGAAATTCCGTTCACGATCCATAATACGGCCTCGATTCTGCAAGCGTTTGCTGTGTACCAGTGTGACCATTCTGTAAATAGAAATCTTCAATAATTAATTCTGTAACTCGATATCGAGCTGGCAAGATTATCTGGTGTTTCACATCGTCAGACAAATCTGTACGATTTAGCCGTCGTCCAACTCGTAGAACTCCTTCTTTTACGAATGGCTTTAACTTAAAAATACTACTTCCTTTCATAGAAATTTTAACCAAAGAATTTGTCCACTCGAGTTCTTGTGAGAACGATTTCTGTTGAAAAACTTTGACGATGGTTCTCTCCGCCTCATTAATCTCGGGAACGGATAAAAGGATGCAGGAACCAGTTGCTGAGTCCGCGTGGCTTCGATCTGCTTTGGCTGAATTGCCGTTGACATTGAGTTGAGTTTGGTCATTTCACGAGTCAAGCTCGAGCCCGAGTCAAGCACGAGTCACGAGTCAAGCACGAGTCACGAGTCAATTTCGAGTCAACCTATAAACTTTGTTTTTGCCCTTTTTACGTTAATTTTACAATTTTTATCGTTTAATATTCAATTTTGATGCAGGTAAGTATACTTTATGAAATAGCGCATCTCACTGTATTTACATTCTCACCGTCGCTTGTTGTTTGTTGTTCCACAAACCTGACTCGGCCCAGTCGCTTATCTTGCGTTGAATAATGGGAATGCGATGGTTTACTTCCATATGCCTGGGCGTCCTTTTACGGCAAAGGCCATGGAACCCGGAACCGCTATATATTTGTGGGACTGTGGACGAGCCAGTGTACAGACAAGTAAGACATGGGAATTCTGTTTGTGAGAAATCCGGTACGTAATTCCTAATTTGCGAGCGGGTAAGCCGACAACCGATTGTGCAGCCTCTGCAAAGCCTATTTTTGAATATTATTGAAATACCATAATTTTAGACGTAAAGAAACGTGTAACTTACTCTAATTTTAACTAAGTTAAGTTAATTTAAACTTAAAATATCCGCCCTGTTGTGACGTCATTGTTGCCATAGCAACGGCAGTTAGGAGTTTTTTTAATTCCGAACTCCTTAGTTATTGTGTTATACCAATCAGATAGTCTCTGTTTTAAAACAAATAATAATTCTCCAGAAATTCAAATCAGAAAATCTTTAATTTTTAAAAAGTGTAGCAAGCCACCTTTAAAGCCCACACTGACCGAACACGATTCGGCAAGGCGACGCGAATTTCATAGCCTCCTCCGCAGGCCTCTCTATGGTTTCTAGCCTGCATATGGGTTTGAAAAAAAAAATTCTGGGAGAGAGGCCTGCCATAAATCGAACAAAATAGACGTATCTCAAATATTAGTGGCCGTGTTACGTTACCCCACCCCCTAAGTAGGCTTTTGACCCTAATTATATATTCAGTTTGAAATCTTCGGGCGAGGAGCGAAACTTGCACGTATAAAAAACTTTAAAAATGTTTTATAATGCGTCGAAATATTCAAGTTATACGAAAATTAATTGGTCAATTGAAAGCATTTAATATATCCTGAATTATATATCGCAATGTTCCTCGCGGTATAAAAACGACGTGCAAATTTTGAATCGCTCGCTCAAAGCAGCCAAATGTTTACAATTATTATTAAAATGTATAAATTGTTCAGCCGATGAATTACAATTTCTGAATTTGAGGACATTATCTGGCATAATTTCGAACGCAAAACGAAGAATGGAACGATAAGAAAGGTATAATTTGTTTAATAAAGGGATTATATTAAATTGTATTGTTTTCTGGAATAATATTTGTGTTGCCATTTTGATTTATATTTTACTATACTTTTTCAATAGTCAAATCATCAGGCATTTGGCAACATACTCGGTGAAATGATGTATAAAAGGAAAAGATCTTTCTGTTGAAGCAACCATTTCAATAAGTGACTGCAACTTGGAAATATAAACTAACTGTAGAATTTTGTTGGCATCTTATAAAGCCTGCATTACATATGCCTACCATATTATTATTTAATATGCCTGAGATTGATGCATACATTCTTTTGTGAATTATTTGGTTGAACTGGTAACCTGCCAACATACCACAGTATTTGTGAACTAGGCTTCACTCAGGTGAATAGTTAAATTGAACTCCCCTCACCCCTTTAATGGCTTTAATATCATGTAAATATGCTAAACCTGGTGAAACAGGGTTGGTAGGTTTGCTGAATAATTAGGCCAAACACAGTCACACTAGGCCTTTTGTTTTCTAAACAGCACTAATGACGATTTGGCCTAATTATTCATCTAACCTACCAACCCTGTGGTGAAAAGCAGTTGGCATGTGACAACCTCTTTCTAATATAATACTGTATATGCCTACTTGTGTTACACTTACTGACATCCATGATTTGATAAATACAGGAATTTGTGTGTTTGCATATAGTGCCGTAGCAAGCTCGATTACTGGGGGGGGGCTCATATTCATATATTTGTGTTCTGCATTATTAATTTCTTTTGAAATCGATTGTTTTTATGATCTGTGAACATGAATATATGAATATGAGCCCCCCCTCCCCCAATTATCGAGCTTAATTGCTATGGCACTGGCATATTCTCTAATTATATGTATCTTCCTTGTTCATGCTCAAATAAAATTGCTCTTGACATATATTGCTTTAAAATAGAGTAACTCTTGATTGGCATGTACATATATCACGTAAGACCCAATAATGCCTCTATACACACAACAAGCCCTCTTTGTCTCATCCCTGGCAGGGGCGTGCCTGCTTTTACTCTGTCTAACATCAGACAATTTTACTCTTCAGTGGGAGAGTGCAGACAATGAGTTAATCTAAAGCTTACCAAATGTATTCATTGTTGTAAACTTGTCACAGCTTACAGTTAATATATAGCCACTATTGGAAGACTATTACCAGGGTGGTTGCTGTGTAATATAACAATAGCAAAACACTAGCTATCACTGGGGTGTTTCCTCGGTGACCGATTGTTACAGGGAAATTTGCCTTGCAAAATGGATTTTATCCATGCAAATATTTTGCCTGTGAACTTGGCAAGCAAAATGGAATGTAATGCCTCCATTGGTTAACAAATCCAAGCCAAATGTTATTAAGACAGGTCTTTATATTCTGTTGCACCACATAAACTGTCACTTGGAAATCTATTAGATTCCTATTAAATTCCAGTTGTCCTTTCCCTTATCATAGGCACCTCACACCCATATATTAAAAGTTAAAACAGGGCTATTGATTTAATTAAGAAAGCGTTTGCTATTTAATAAATTTTTGCCACATCTGAGACACCGAAGTTTGAAAACATTGTCCAAGGCCAAGGGATAAATTGAACAGTGTATTCCGCAATAAGAAAACTTTTATTAACGATTTTCCTTCCATACAAGCGTCTTAAAACAATGTTACAAGACAAGAAGTATATATAATATATTAATACCACAGTCACAGATATGTCAACAGTTGAATATATATTGACAATTTTCGCTCGTTCCTTTTAGTGTTATAGTTTCGACTAAATCACTGCACTTTCCGCTTATTATCATATAAAATGTAGTCGACAATTGGAGTAGAAATATGTATATATCAACGATAAACTTTCACTTAAAACCCTGTCTTGACATGAATCGACGGCAACGTGAATATTTGACTGCTCTGGAAAATCACTCGTCTCTAAATAATCCCATTAAATCGCCGTTTCGGGTGACGATAACGTTATCAGCTCCTTATTCAAAGTTCCCGGTGTATATATAATGTTAAAAAGCAGGATTACTCGTTAATTTTACAGTTTGACTCGTCTTTTAAGCCATCGTGTTGAAAACAACTCCTTGCGCAAGCCCTTCCTACTCCCCCTAAGTTAGAGTTTGTCGAAATTTGCATGCGCGAGCCGGTATGCGCAGTGCAAATTTTTGTGTCGATTTATGGCAGGCATCTCGCCAAACTTTTTCCCACCACCCGATTCGTCGGGTGAGATGCCTGCGGAGGAGGCTACGAATTTCAGTTTTTAAAAACAAATAAAACTGTGAACGGTTAAAAATTTTACAAGATATGCAAGCCAAATAGTTAAAATTGCTTAAAGGTGATCTACAGTCCGTATGTAAACAAAGCCTTTGTTTACATTTTTGTTTCCAAAATATTGAGCTTTGTTCGACAACTCTTTATATTTTCAAGCTTCTAGAGTATAATAAATGATCAAGAAACAACAATCAGGCTTTTCAAGAACTCAAAACATAGTTAAACTGTTTGTATCATAAAAAGTGGGCTCATTTGTGCACATGCGCAGATCGGACTGTAGATCACCTTTAAGTGGTTCCGAATATTTGAAAAACATAGAAAAATATTGAAGTTAAATGTAATTGAAAATTGAAAATTCGCGTCGCGTTGCCGAATCGCGTCCGGTACATGAAAAACTGCAAGACTTCGTAACGGTTTATAATATGATTGAAACAGATTGCAAACATTTTTTAAGAAAACCATGCTTTTACTATACCTTCACTAGAGGCCATTGTTTCAATTTCATATATATAACCCGCACACAGGCTGGTAACCTTCGTCACAGAATAAAGATCAGTACCAGAAGGGCCACTCAGCGCTGCAACGTGTCACCATTTTTCTATGCAAAAACATGCAGTTGACTGGCCAGAAGGCGGGGCCTTCAGCCAATACAGCGCGTTTATTGGCCAGAAAATGTAATCGACTGGCTAGGAAGATGGCGGCCAGGGTGACAGAAACTTCAAAGCTTCCGACGTAAGTGGCGCTTCTGTGTGCCTTATTCCGTGCCTTCGTTTTTGAGGTAAACCAATCTCGTTCCCAGAGCAATGCCTGTGCGCGGGCTAGGAAAGCATTGGCTCTGGGGAAAGTGACAACCGGAACCCCTAAAATTAGGGGTTCTGGTGCTTTGTCGGCAAGCACGATTGATAAACGTTAAACCAATCAAAACAAATCACAGCACAGGAAAAATTCAATTTCCCCAGAGCCAATGCCATCCTAGCACGCGCACAGGCATTGCTCTGGGTACGAGATTGGAGGTAAACTGAAAGTATAACAGTTGATTTCGGAGGTGTGTCGAGGGTGTGAGAAAGCTTTTTCTGGGAAGTGGTAGAGTCTGTAGACCACTGTATACATGCAGTTAGAAATTTTTAGCTTGACTCGAATTGGACTCGTGACTCGAGCTTTACTAGGGCTCGAGCTTGACTCGTAAAATGAATACACTCCATTGAGTTCAGTCCTTAATTGTTCTTGATCGTAACTTCCCTTTGTAGGTTCGAACTGCTTTGAAAATAAACCCTACAAGTCTGTGTAGCCGATTCCAACTCGAATATCTGCTAACGATCTCTGTCCAAAACGATTCCTTAACGATTGTGGCATTAACGTTGACTTTCTCTTTCTTAATTCCGACGTCATCGTCTCGTAGAGCAATCATCAATTCTGCTGGTTGCTGTGGCCATTCAGTTTCCATCTGCCATGCAAACTCCGGTCCGTTTTTCCTTCTTTCTAGCTTCCTGGTTTCGGACGCTTTGATGCCTCATGAAGCCAAATCTGCTGGGTTCAGCTCGGACTTCACATGGCGCCATTGTGACGGATTGGATCCTTCGCGAATCTGGGCTACTGGGTTAGAAATGAAGGTAACGAACCGCTGCGTTTCATTCAATATTTATCTGAGGACTGTAGTAACGTGCCGAAACAGAAGATAAACAAGCCCAGTGTAAGATACAAAATATATTGTCTAAACTAAATACAAGATGGCGGAACTCTCTTTTATACATGCCCCAACATGCGTTGGGGTCGTCATTGCACAGGGGTACCGTACTCTACACCTTCCCCAAGTATACAATTGTCATATTTCAACAATATTTTAGTATCTAATTTGCTTACCCACAAGAGTTCAATGTTCCAATTTTTAAATAAACTATTATTTATAACATCCTAAGAAAGTCAATAATATACCTCACTAATTTAATTAAACTAAAGTCCTAAATTGTGAATGTTAATTATTCAATGTTCTACTTATCTTCATCCATCAGCTTCACAAGTCCAATCGCTGGGGAGGTCGGACAACTCTACCAGAACGGGTGGTGGGTATCAACAGTTTGTTCTGGACGGGTAGGTTCCGTTTCTCGACTCCCTTCGGTAATGGAGACTAAGGCAGATCGATTACGCCTAAGAATTCCCTTGTCAGTCTTCACAAGGTAAGATCTGGGATACTGAGTGGAAGAAAGGATCTCACCTTGCTTACTTTGATCCTTGACCCATACCGCATCTCCAGAGTCAAAGGTGTGCAGTTCTCTTGCCCTATGCCTACGGTTGAAATTGGTATCCTGTGCTCTACGGTAGGACTTTCCTTGGATACCACCCTCTCCAACTCAAAAGTAAAGTCCTTCGGTTTCAGAGTAGCTGGGAGAACGGGTAGCTGTATCTTTAGTCGGCGACCCATAAGAAGCTGGCTTGGCGACAAACCATTCTTTAGGGGTGTCGAGTGATTCGATGGTAGGGCAAGATAAGGGTCTTGGTTCTTCTTCAAAATCTCCTTTGCAGTACGCACTGCCCCTCGCTTCGCCATTCGCTTGAGGATACCTAGGTGAACTTGTGGAATGAAAGAAGCCATAGGTTTTCGCAAACTTCCTGAAGGCTTCGGATGCGTATTGAGGACCATTGTCCGAAACAGGGCCGCCGAGAGGGGGGTGGGGCAGGTGGGGCAAATTGCCCCGGGCCCCGAGGTGCTGGGGGCCCCTGGAAATTTTTTGTTGGGCCCCAGTCTTTTTTGTGTGTTAAATATTTTCGCGCAAAGGACAAGATCATGTTTTTTTGGGATAAGTACCGAAATTTGGCATAAAAAAATGAGATAAAGTCGCTGGAAAGTAATTGCAATTGGGGGAAGAGGTTGTTCTCCGGAAAAAAATTTTCCGGAAAAATTTTTTAGATAGGGGCCCCTAAAAAAAAATTTGCCCTGGGCCCCCGCCAACCTCTCGGCGGCCCTGGTCCGAAATAACGATCTCTGGAATCCCATGAGTAGCAAATAGTTCCTTGAGGATATTGATTACGTAGTCAGACGTCTGACTGTGAAGTCTTTTAATCTCCAACCAACGAGAATAGTAGTCAACAACAAGAAGATAGTCGAAGAGATCCATACCGATCCGTTCCCATGGGCGTGAAGGGAAATAACTCGACATGAGTGATTCTTTCTGGTCTTGTCTCACCTTTACACAAGTATTACACTTAAAAATTATCCCTTGAATAGCAGCTGACAGTCCAAGCCACCAGACTGAGTCACGTGCTCTTGCTCTAGACTTTGTTATCCCTTGGTGACCAGTGTGGATGCAGTCAAGGATACAACCTCAGGGATCTCGGAATAACAATTTGATCGTCATATAACAAGATATCATCCACAACTGCTAGGTGGATCTGTGCCTCCCAGTATGGTCGAATTAGCGGCTGGAGGGGCCGGTAAGTAAGCCAACTATTTACACTATACTTGTGGATTAGAGAACATTCTTCATCTGCTTTGTGAACTGCCCGTATTTCCTGCAAGCGGTTTGTAGTTACAGATAATGTACCCAACATTTCGTTTGTATTGCTCTCTACTTCCTGTACAAGATTGTGAACGTCTCCATCCGGTTTACCAACAGGAGCGCGAGACAGTGCACCTGCGGCAACCTGTTGCTTTCCAGGGACATAGACTACGTGTGGGTTAAACCTCATGAGTCGCAACCGAAACCTCGATATGCGTGGAGGCATCTTGCTCAACTCAGTTGTGTTGAACAGCGTTGTGAGAGGTTTGTGGTCTGTCTCTAACGTAAACTGCAATCCGGTGATGTAATCCGAGAACCTCTCACCGGCCCAGGTCGCTGCTAGGGCTTTTTTCTCGATGACTGCGTACCGCTTCTCTATTTCTGATAGAGTGCGAGAAGCATAATAGACGGACGACGGTCCCTGTTCCGATATCAGAGACATCTGCATCGACTATGGTTTCCTTCAGAGACATCTGCATCGACTATGGTAACCCACTGTTCGCATCAAGCTTGCTGAAAACTTTCCCCTGGCCCAGCTTGGAAAGGCTCTCATCCACAGGCGGCATTGGGTGTATTTCTCGCTTAACCGCCTTATTTTACTGGGTTAAATCCACACAGATGCGGACCTTTCCATTGGGTTTTGAAACGCAAACCATACCCGAGCACCATTCAGTAGGAACAGTCACGGGTGAAATAACATTCTGCTTGAGCATAGACTGTAATTCTGCCTCGACTTTGGGTATTGTAATGATATACTTCCGGTTTGAGACCCCCCATGGGGCCTCGTGTTGTTGTTGTACTTATCTTATAAAAATACAAAGCTCGAAGACTATTACATGGTGTCAGGAGTGCGATTTTTACTGAATATCGACCGTATAAGCTACAGTCATGGCTCTTAGCGGTATTGAACTTCCTGTGATGCAATGGGACGGCGAAAATCTCAAGGAAAATTGGCGACGTTTTAAACAACATGTCGAATTAATGTTCTCTGGACCGCTGAGATCAAAAACCGAAGCGGAGAAATGCAGCTACCTACTCATCTGGGTAGGGCAAAAAGGCAGGGATATATACAACACATGGTCGGATATCTCAGAAACAAACAGAGGTAAATTAAAAACATATTATGATCGATTCGAAAAGCATGTCAATCCGAAAGCAAACCCCGTCTTTGCCAGATATAAGTTTCATAACAAAATACCAGGCCCCACCGAGCCAGTAGAGGAATTCACAACAGAGTTACAACTCCTAGCCCAAGATTGTGAGTTCCACGACCAAAATGAAATGGTTAGAGACCGAATTGTGTTTGGGACAAATTCAAACAAAGTGAGGGAAAAACTTATAATGGAAGGGGCAGAACTCACGCTAGAAAAAGCTATGCAAATCGCAAGAACCTATGAAAAAACCCAAGCCCAACTCAAAAGCATGTCTCCTGAAAACAAGGAAGAAAGCATTCACTTAGTCAGACAGCAAAACCAAGGCAGTCAATCTCAAAGATCGAGACAATCACTTGACCAAAAGTACCCCCAGCAATCACTTGAACAAAAGTACCCCCAGCAAATAAGCCAGTGTGGGAACTGTGGGAGAAAACACTACAGATCAGAGAAATGTCCAGCAAAAGGGCAAACCTGTTACCTATGCAACAAGCCCAACCATTTTGCACAAGTATGTCGATCAAAAGGGAGGCGGAGCCAAATACACCTTATCGAGAAGGTAGAATGTGACCCCTCAATGACCCAATTTGAAACTCTAACTTTTGAATCAATTACTATAGCTAATGTTAACCACCAAAATTTGAAGGCAGACGAAGTGTTTGCAGAGGTGGGCATCCACCTAGATCCAAAGCCCAAAGCAACAGTCAAGGCTTCCCTACAAACACACGCAAAGGCATCACTGAAAGCCAAAGTCGATACTGGTGCCCAAGGGAATATACTCCCCCTAAGATTATACCGGGCGATGTACCCCTGCAAAATTGATCTGAAGGGCAACCCCAAGAAAGGAGCTACAAAACATTCTAATACTATCCTCACAGCATATGGGGGATCCAAGTTACACCACCATGGCACCGTCACCATTGATTGTGAATTCAAAGGCAAAAGATCTGCTGCACAGTTCTATGTCACAGACACACAAGGCCCTGCTATCATTGGCCTACCAACGTTGATTGACCTCAACCTTGTGAAATTCAATTGTGCCATACTCAAACAAGTGTTACACAGCAACACACTATGGTCCACAACAAGAACCCCTGAGCAAACACCACTAACCACCAGAACCCCCGAACGACCAGCAATATCCAAACCAATAAAGAGCAAAGAAGATTTGATAGATCAATACCCAAACTGTTTTAATGGCAGAGGAAAATTCGAAGGAGAATACCACATAACCACCGACCCATCAGTCCCACCTGTTATCCACCCTCCGCGACGAGTTCCAATCAGTCTGAAAGATGACATTAAGAAAGAACTAGACGAGATGGTTGCAAATGGTATCATAACTAAAATAAACGAAGGAGAGCCCACAAGATGGGTAAACAGTCTTGTCTACAAGAGGAAACAGAATGGACTATTGCGTTTATGCCTAGACCCCAAAGACCTAAACACAGCTATCTTAAGAGAACATCACGCCTTTCCTACCTTGGAAGAAATTTTACCAAAATTACACAAAGCAAAGTTCTTCTCAATAGTCGATGCAAAGTGTGGCTATTGGAATGTGGTACTTGATGAAGAATCAAGCTATTTAGCTACCTTTAACTCCCCATTTGGCAGGTACCGTTTCAAGCGTATGCCCTTTGGGCTGAACATGTCACAAGACATCTTCCAAGCAAAGATCGACCAAACATTCGAAGGATGTAGAGGCGTTGTGGGTATCGCAGATGATATTGTTATCTCTGGCACAACAGAAGAAGAACACGACCAAAATCTACGAAGCATGATGAGCCGGTGCCAAGACACAGGTCTGAGACTAAACCCTGACAAATGCCACATAAAGCAAGAGAAAATAAAGTTTTATGGGCTTATCTGCGGTCCAGAAGGAATTCAACCAGACCCTGACAAAGTGTCCGCCCTGAAGCAAATGGCCCCACCGACCAACAGCAAAGAACTACAGACATTCTTGGGTCTGGCCACCTATATGGCACCATTCATCCCGAATCTCAGTCACCACACTGCCTCACTGCAACAGCTACTCAAGAAGGAGAGCAAGTTTGCCTGGGACGCAAGCCAACAGGATGTGTTTGACAGGATCAAGAATTTAATTTCTGAAGAAGTTACACTAACATA